GTAATTGCCTTAAGTGCCCACCCAAAAATCAGTAGAAAGCAGTTGCTTAGTATAGATGTTTTTAAAATGCTGAACAAACACTGTCCTGGAAATCCTGGGGCTAGTTTAAAGGATTCCTTAAGATCAGAGGGTTGCCTAATGAGAGGTTGGGAACCTTGGTGCAAGTTCCACTCTAGGCTGATGGAGTGATGCTTAGGTTTTGTGTGAGTATGTAAAAAGAAAGTGTCATGTATGGCTTTATATGCAACCCTAGCCACGGAGAACACTGAGCATGTCATTCAACTTTACACTTCAAATATGCTTCCCTTTTGTATATTGAAAATTCTACTAACTCAATTTTAGATTATGCAAAGAAAGAGGAAGTAGCATGACTCAGCTCTATGCTACAATGGCTGGAGCAGATCCAGACCTAGCAATCCTTTGGGTTTTCCTTTTCCTTACCAAAATACAAGTTTGCAGCTTGGATAATGTCAAGCATGCAGTGTTTGGGTAAAGAACGCAAAATGGGCAGTGTGCCTGCCCTGGTCCTTGTGTCAAGCAGGAGCTCTTTACATTTATGGGAAATTCTCCGCTGCAGAATTAGGAAGAAAGCACAAAATACAGAAGGGCTCAGAATTTACCCACTGCCAAACTGCCAAAGAGGAGCAACCTTCTGAAAATGTCACCTCCTTCCTAGCTATAGAATTTCAAGGAAGGTTAATGGCGATAGTGATGGTAATAATAATAAATAACGCTTTGTACTGCTATGGTGACTTCCATCTGAGGCTATCAAAGAACTGAATAGACGTGAATTCATTAAGCCTCACCTCCCACCAAACTGGTAAATACTTTTACTATAATCTCCATTTACACAAGTGGAACTGAGGCATAGGGAGGTTAATGATTTGCCCAAAGTCACACAGCGAATCACTGGTGGAGCTGGAATAAGACTCAGGAATCCTTATTCCCATTGCCTCGTTCTAACAGCAAGACAAAACAGCTTCTCTATAAACCTTAACTGTCTAAAAAACATTCCTGCTCCTCTAACCATTTTGTTTCACAGAAATGAGGGATTATACATCTTGGAAGTAAACTCGTCACACTAGGGAACTCTGATGTGCTTGTGTATCAACAGTATTCAAAACAGCATCCTCAAGTCCTTAACTCAGTCCTCACTCAGCTTCTAACAATGTCAACGTGAGTTACAAGTGCTCTGCAGCACTCAGGATTTGGCTCATAAAAAGGGATCTGATGTCTGAGTAAGAACTGAGTAACAACTTCAGGAGTTGGCCCTTTAACTTGTTGGCAAAAAGTGAGCCTATTTGCTAGTATCTGATGATGAAATAAGGTCTTTACAGATAAGGTCCTAATTTTTTATCTCACATTCAAGTTAATACCTACCTCTGTGCCTTTCAGACACTTGCCTCCATTGTGAAGATCACACATCAGTCATTTTTTACATAAACTGTAATCAGGAGAGGTTATCCAGGCTCTTCTTTTTAAACTACCTGCACTTTATCTATTAAGGAAACCAAGGTATTGCTTGCATAAAACAATGCTCTGGGTTGTATATATAGGTGAGAATGCGTGACCAGTGTCAGGAAGCTTGCATCATATACTAACCAATTGCACATTGCACTGGAGAGGTCACCAGCCAGCTGGACCACCACTTCTATTTTTTTGAGTATCCTTTTTGTACATTTTAAGAAACACTTGCTTCAATTACAGGATATTGTCTGTTCCTTTACACTTTGCCAATCTCACTGACTTGTCTTTTCCCCCCACAGTACTGACTGTTGCAATATGGCAACACTGTAAAACAGAGTAACCCAAAAGCAGCTCAAGAGAAGGGAAGGGGAGCAGCTCTCCATTCACTTAAAAGGGGGACTCCCAATAAACACTTATCTTATCTGTCCCAAAAAACTCTGTTGAACTAAAACGGAAAGTCAGACCTAAACCCTCAAAAGCCAGGGAATTCAGGCCTGTTGACTCTGGGGCCTTAACTCAAGAGAAAACAAAGAACCATAGGAATATAGGACTGGAAAGGATCTTGAGAGGTCATCTAGTCCAGCCCTATGTGCGGCAGCAGGACTAAGTAAACCTAGACCATACCTGACAGGTACTTGTCCAATCTCTTCTTAAAAACCTCCAGTGATGGGAATTCCAAAACCTCCCTTGGAAGTTGGTTCCAGAGTTTAACTACCCTTATTATTGTTAGAATGTTTTTCCTAATATCTAACTTAAATCTCCCTTTGGGAAGACTGAGTTCATTACTACTTATCCTATCTTCAGTGAACATGGAGGACACTTGATCTCCTTCCTCTTTTTAACAGCTCTTAACATATTTGAAGACTATTAGGCTGGCCCCCCTCCCCCCCAATCTTCTTTTCTCAAGACTAAACATGCCCAGTTTTTTAAAGCTTTCCTCATAGATCAGGTTTTCTAAACCTTTTATCATTTTGTTGCTTTCCTCTGGACTCTCTACAATTTGCCCATATCTTTCTTACAGTGTGGGGCCCAGAACTGGACACAGTACTCCAGCTGAGGCCTCATCAGTGTCGAGCAGAGCAAGACAATTACCTCCCATGTCTTGCATACAACACTCCTGTTAATACACCCCAGAATGATATTATCATTTTTTGCAACTGCAACATATTGTGGACTCATATTCAATTTGTGATCCACTAGAATCCCCAGATCCTCTTCAGCAGTACTACCACTGAGCCAGTTATTCTCCATTTTGTAGTTGTGCATTAAGTGAAGTACTTTGCACTTATCTTTATTGAATTTCATCTTGTTGAATTCAGACCAATTCTCCAATTTATCAATGTTATTTTGAATTCTAATTCTGTCTTCCAAGGTGCTTGCAATCCCTCCCATCTTGGTGTCATCTGCAAATTTTATAAGCAATACTCTCTACATAATTATCCAAGTTATTAATTAAAATATTGAGTAGTACCAGACCCAGGACTGACTCCTGTGGGACTCCACAAGATTCGCCCTCCCAGTTTGACTGTGAATTTCACTTTGAGTATGGTCTTTCAAACAGTTGTGCACCCACCTTATAAGTTCATCTAGACTGCATTTTCCTAGTTTGATTATGAGAATATCATGTGGGACTGTGTCAAAAGCCTTTCTAAAATCAAGATATATCATATCTACTGCTTTCCCCCTATCCATTAGGCCAATAACCCTGTCAAAGAAGGAAATTAGGTTGGTGTGGCATGACTTGTGCTTGACAAATCCATACTGGCTATTCCTTATATTGTTTAATAATTTGTTGCATGTTAAGAACAAAGGTCAGCTTGCGTCCTGGATATTTAGTCTGGCTTTTCTAGCTTTTGTGGGTTTAAATCATGCCTTTACAGTTAATTGTTTGTTTGTTTTTTAATAAAAAATGTTTTTATTGTTTTTATTATGGTTCTTCGAAACTAAAACAACCACCAGTTCATTGTTTTCCTGTACATTTCTCCTCCATTTCTAGTATCAGCCATCAGCCTGTACTTGCATGGAGGTGTAATGAGTGACATAATGGGTCTCTACAATCACTGGGTTCTATGATTCACTAATTCAGCATGATAAACTGCCTCTCCAGAAGAAAGTTTCTAAAGTAATCATAAACACAGGAAGGCTGACTTCATCATCTACCCTCATGTCCACACAGCATTGAAAAGAATAAGGCCATGTCTACACTAGCATTTATGTTGGTAAAACTCAGGGATGTGAAAAATACACCCCCCGAGCGACATAAATTTTGCTGGCATAAGCGCTCATGTGCACAGGGCTATGTCAGCGGGAGACGCTCTCCCACCAACATAGCTACTGCCACTCGTTGAGCTAGTTTTATTATGTTGACGGGAGTGCTCTCTCCAATCGGCATAACGTGGCTACAGGAGCGCTCTTACAGCAGCACGGTAAGCTTGTAAGTATAGACAGAGCCTAAGGATCTTGTGCAGACATCTAGTCCATAGCATCAGGGAATTATGTTATCACCTGGTGATGTCTTGACTCGAATATCACAGTTCATTCTTGCATGTGTAGGTGGGACTATGCTATGTTATAAATATGTTACGGGATATTGCTACAGCCCAGCCTCTACAGGGCTATAACTTGGTCTCAGATATGCAGACCAGATCAAACCACATTAGAACATGATTCCACAATCTGGGGCCTGGTGCAATTGACTGGTGTAAATCAGCATAAGTGTAACTAAAATCAATGAAGCTACAGCAGTTTACACCAGCTGAGGATCTGGCCAATGTTACTGTCAGCACAGACATGCCTCTAATGCCCTGCCCACACTATGGCTAAAATTGTGCTAACAACAATTCTGTTTAATCTCAGTTGTTGCTACCATGGTTCCCTTGACCAGCGTGGACAGGAGGAATTCTTTTAAAGAATTGTAGACACCATAAATATCCAGAGGCCCAGTCCCAACAAAACTCCAATTCATAGACAGGATCTTAACTGACATGCCCAAATCTTTAGCTTGATTACGGAGAATAGTTAAGGGCCCATCTACACTATTAGTTGTAATTACCTTGTAACCAAGTCAGGGAACAGCTGTATTTTAATGCTGTAACCAGTCCCCTGATATAGTGATATCTGTAGCACAGACTTGCTCATAGATGACTTGGTGTGAGAGGTCATCTTTAACAGTTTGGCTAGCACAGTACTCGGGGGGAAATAATATAACTATGCTGCCCAGACCCACTGAGCTAGAACCCAGCTAGCATGGGAACTTGTCATGTTTTCAGTTGCTTTGTGGACAGGCCTTAATTGAAATGATCTGAGCACCAAGATATATTGGAATTCACGTCCAAATGATCTGGATTTCCTTACACAGTACTAAAGAGTTAGCCAATAAATATTACACTACACTTCCATTTGTCTGATAATGAAGTTCACAGCATGGGACACTAGGTTAAACTTTTACTAGATTTCCAAGTCCAGGGTGCATTAGTTGATATTTCCTATTTACAGACAACAATGGGATTCTGCTATAATTAAAAAATGGTTACCTGTGGTCAATAACTGTTACATTGGAAGGAGGGATCCCCAAAATAGCACAACTCTGTACAAGTTCATTCTTACGAAGCTCCCCTTGATTGTAGTAATTTCCTGAAAATAACAAATGCAGTAACACTATTTACTTTACTTCAATTTAGCATGGAACAAACATCTCCATCCTCAAATCCTCAAAGCATCAACCATATGTAGTACCACATGTAAGATCTGAAAGTACTTAGTACTAGGGTTCCCCACCTAAGGAAGAGGTACATTATGGGGAGCAAGTCCTATAGCTTATACTCAGGAAACACTCCCTTTAGCCCAGTGTAAAGTTTTAGAACCCAATTCACCCACACTCTTGCCTTGACTTCAAATGGAGTTGCACATTCATCTCTTAGAGCAGAGTTTGACTCTTTATAATTAATGAGTTCTCTTGGTTGGAACACAGGAATTTGCCATACCATATCAGATGAATGGTCCATCTAGTCCAGTATCCTGTCTCTGACAGCGGCCAGTATCAGATCCTTCAACAGAAGATGCAAGAAAGCCCATAATGGATAATTATGGAATAACCTACTCTTAGGGAATTTTTTTTCTCTCTCCTCCCTCAATCTATTAATGTCTGGCTTATGTCCTGAAGCATGAGGGTTTATAGCTCTCTTACGTTTTTATCCTTTTTAGTGTTACAGCGAACAATCTTATTATCCATATAAATAAATGTCTAATCCCTTTCTTACTACTACTAACTCCTGGCCTCAATGATATTTTGTTGCAGTGAGTTCCATGGGTTAGTTATGCTTTGAGTAAAAAAGTATGTTATCCTTGTAAACTAATAAAATTCTAGCAAGTACATAAACTGATGTCTGTGTTCTCACATGTTACCTGTATGGGAATCACTGATATCTCATGATGTTAAAACTATTTGTCAAGGCCTTTTTACAAATATAGGGGAAATCACCTTTCCAATGAGAGAGGACCAAAAGCTCTTACTATTTTACAATAGCTAGGTGGCCTCCGTTAAATGAGATGGTACGTTGCAGTCCAGTTCTTGGCATACAAGTATCTACAACACAACTGGTGATAACTGGTCTCCTTAGGAAAGACCAAAAAATGAACTCCTTCCTCACTACTAGAGGTGGTAGGTCAGACTCTGTGTTGGCATAAATCAGTGTAGTTGCACTGACTTCAACAGAACTACACTAATTTACACCAGCTCAAGATTAGGTCCTCAGACTTCAGAACAGCAGTGTGTCAGTACTGTGTAAGAAACATGCCTACCTAATACTTATGATTTAACTGACAATTAAAGGGCTTAAGTTTCCAGTATGGTCATAAGCACCTTTCATGAGCACTAATATTCACATAAAACTAGAATACTGCAATAATGAAGCACTGTCAAAATTAACGAGACACGTATGAGATTTCCTATCATTATAATCTCTGTGTCGAGAAACTAATTCCTCAGAAGTCTGCACTGTTTCTAAAACAAATGTACTAAGTAATGTTCATGCAGGAGCTAATAGAGCAGAATTTGAAAGCATTTACAGAACCAAGAAAGGAATGTTAAAATATGTGAAAACAGCATTTAGAAAACAGCATTCTGTAAAACTTATAATAGACACAGTGGGACCAAGGCTAGCATGGAACCAGGATTCATTAACTTAAGACACAGGCTGCTTCTTGATTTAATTATTTTCTTCTCATTCTGCCTTCATGTTACCTGGTCTGTTTGTTAGCAAAAACAATGAGGAGTCCTTGTGGCACCTTAGAGACTAACAAATTTATTTGGGCATAAGCTTTCGTGGGCTAGAACCCACTTCATCAGATGCATGGAGTGGAAAATACAGGAACGGAAGGGGGTTGCCTTACCAAGAGTGAGGTCAGTCTAATGAGATAAATCTATTAACAGCAGGATACCGAGGGAGGAAAAAAAACTTTTGAAGTGGTAATGAGAGTGGCCCATTACAGACAGTTGACAAGGTGTGAGTAACAGTAGGGAGAAATTAGTATTGGGGAAATTAGGTTTAGGTTTTGTAATGACCCAACCACTCCCAGTCTTTATTCAGGCCTAATCTGATGGTATCCAGTTTGCAAATTAATCCAGTTCTGCAGCTTCATGCTGGAGTCTGTTTTTGAAGTTTTTTTGTTGAAGAATTGCCACTTAGCATGAATCATGAAAAGTCCAGGTTAGAGCTCAGCTGGCCTCAGAAGGCGTGCTACCCTGTGCAACATGGCAATTGCCACCAGTTATAACTTCCGAGCAATAACATGAAAAAGTCCTGCAGAGTTTTAATGTGTGATTCCAGTTTGTAGTCAGCTATTCTGAATTACACTGAACTTTTTATTATTGTGGGGTGAGTCATCAGAAACTAGCATTCATCTGGTGAAGTGCTGCAATCTGAGCTGTCAAAATCAGCTTTATATGATGCTCAGAGTGAAACATTAACCTCAGAAGAGACAACTTTTCTTATCACAATAAAATTTAGACTCTCTTACTGCAGCCCAGAAATGTGTCTCTTCAGGAGGCTCTGATACTGATCATCCATGGAAGGGATGACTTACTGAGCTAAACATCAGGTTGGAACTCTACAGCTTTCCTGGAGGCAGAGGCTCAGATCCCAGCAGGATCAACTCAAACCTAAGTCCTTTCTAGGTACATTTAAATACTTCTGTACAGTTTACTGTGTGAGAGTCTTTAAGAGACAGAGACTCTGCTTCTAATTCTTGTATCTTAATGATCCCATGATACTATTGGAAGGAGTGAGGATTTTCCTCAGCAAAAATTTACTCTGCTATTATGCAGTGTGCTGTATGTTAGTGAGTTGCTGACCTCCACTGCAGAGATAGCTATGCTTCAGTGACAATGTATGTATACAGGGCCAATTTCTGTCCTTGGATTACACGCACACAACTTCCACTGATGACAGGCACTACATAAATGCAAAATAGCATTATTGGCCAGCCATTGGTACTGAAAAGCATTGAGTGGTTAGTATTCCTGAACCTCATCCATGGAACTCTCTCAGTAGAGTGGCAGCTACTAACGAGAGCTATTGGGGTGTTAGTGCCACCAGTTATTCACCCTGGACTGTGTGACCAACAACAATTTGCTCACAGTGCTCTAATTCCAATGCATTCTAGTGGCATTTTTGGTTGTGATCTGACAATTGAAAGTGTGATGGTTTCTAAGTAGCCATTTTGCCTCCGTTTTAAAATTTCACAGAAGAAAATAATGGGAACCTTAATACAATATCTGATCAGCCTCATCTATTGCACAAACAAATGAAGGACCAACCATCTGAATCACAGGATCCTAATATGAAATTAAAAAGATCTGTAAGTCCATCCCCTTGCAAGGGCAGTTCCCTTACAAAAAAACATGAGTGATTAATCTGAAGCAGCACAAAAGACACTTTTTGATATGTGTGAAATCTCTGTAACAAGACTATTGCCAACGATTGTAAGGAAATTGATTTAAAAAAAGATTTACTTCTTTGGAAAAGCTGTGTAATGGTAGCATACTTGTATATAAGTAAGGCTGCGAGTCTGTCACGGACGTATGGATTCCGTGACTTTCCGTGATCTCCGTGACTTTTGCAGCGGCTGGTGCTGGCTCAGAGGCTGCCCGAGACAGGAAGCCCCTGGGCCAGCAGCAGCAATTTCGGTGTGTGGGAGGGGACTCAGGGCACCCCCGGACACACACACCCCGAGCACCCGCAGCCCCCAACCCAAGTTTTAGTTAGGCAGGTATTTTTAGTAAGAGTCATGGACAGGTCACGGGCCCGTGTATTTTTGTTTACGGCCAGTGACCTGTCCATGACTTTTACTAAAAATACCCATGACTAAAACGTAGCCTTATATATAAGAAATGCTCTAGACTGAGCTGGCTTGGTGGCATTGTGCTAACGTCTCTGCACAGTTGTGAGAAAGCCAAATGGGGTCCAGTTCTGGTCTCTCATGATCCAAGCCAGCAACAACACACCGGAGGCTGCATATTCAGCTCTGGATGGGTGACAGACTTTGACTGATAACAGAGTAACACCAATGGGCTCCAAATACTCCATCCCGGTCTTCTCACCTAGAGAGGTTTTAATAACTTGAAGCCTTGAGAATTGGGAACAGAAGAGTTGAGGGTAAGCTACCTAGAGTCTTGAGACCTACAGAGGGCCCCTTCTCCCATCAAAAAATGACTCAGATGTGCATTTGACACTACATAGTTTCTAATAAGGAAATTCATGACAAAAAGATTCTTGATCCTTAACTCACATTATAAGCTCCTTGGAGCAGGAACCCTATCTTTTATGTCTGTGCAGTGCCATGCACACTATAATGTTTTATAAACAATCGTATGTTTGTGATTCTACACAACCAAATGTCTTTCTTTTCATTTCTTTGCGCTATTATCTAAGTAATTGTAAAGTGTTTTGGGAGGTACAATTGGCATGGAACTCACTACCTCAGATATCGTTTTATTATACTTTTTACCAGTGGTTCCTAACCACTGATATCTATCACAGTACTAGTACTTCAGGATTTGGGGAATGGTCCTCTGGATGTACCCCTCCCACACACCTTAATCATTAGCCTCTCTACTGGTCTCCATGAGTTACCACGGCCTACTTTGCATTAAATTATATATGTTCTAGCCTGCTATCAAGTGGGGATTGCATCAAACTATAGTCCCGCAAGAGTAGTCTGAAGGGTCAGTTAGAGTGCAGATGTTTCTGGAGCACTATGAACTGAATAGCATGGTGATGTTTTAATGCATCACCATCATATTGCGTCAGGCACAACGATGCAATATTGTGTTTTGTCACAGTGTACTGATATTTTGTAAGCGATGCTACAGTGTATCATGATGGGACAATTACTTCACAATGGAGTGCACATCTACTACAAGGCCACACATAACATTGTGAAGTTGTAACATACAGTGTGATGTTGTGGTGTACTGAAGTCATAATGTGGTAAAATAGGGTTGCCTCCAGGATTGTCCTGGAGTCTCCAGGAACTGAAGATTAATCTTGAATTAAAGATTATATCATGTGATGAAAACTCCAGGAATACGGCCAAGCAAAATTGGCAGCGTTGGGTATGACACAACTCAGTTACATTATATCATTGTGAAGCGGGGTGATATCATGAGGATGTTGGCTACATCACAAAAGCCTAATTGGGTGATGTCACCATGGGATGCGACACAGGTAATGACATCATGGCATGATGATGTCACAGCATGAGGTGTCACTGGGTGCAGTGTGTTGGCATTTCCCTCATCTGGTCAATGTTGGCCAGACCCAGACCCACCCCCCCATTCCTCTTTCTCACCCTCCCTCCCTCCCTCACCTGAAGAGCAGCACAGCAGCCAGAGTTGGGCCTGAAACCTGCCCAGGCTGAGGATTGTGGGAGCAAAGAACATTGCTTCGTCATCAGGGTGCGCCGTCACGACCAGTGCACGTACGTCATCGGCCCGCGCTGGTCCCGCCGCACACAGGGTTTGGTGTCCCCAACCCGCGCCGCGTCGTCGCAGCCAGCGCGAGCCCAGCCACACCAGCGCAAGCAGCGCCGCCAGGAACGAACCCAGCAGCGCCAGCGCCATAGCGACCGAAACCGGAAGGGACCACGTCGTTCCGGGCGGGAACAAGGACAAGCGGCAGAAAGGTTCCGCGCCTGGAAGGGCTTTTCCCTGACCAAGGCTCTCTTCTTTGAGTGAACCCAGGAGGGAGTGACAGGGATAACACGCAGGGCTCACTCCCTTCCTTCACTGCCCTTCCAGAACTGGCCCACCACATGTCCCCCTTTGGGGAGGGGAAAATGAGCCCTTTGCGGGAACTCCACCCAGAATGGATTCATGCACAGAGAAAAGAGTTCCAGTCTCCCCACTCTGCAGGCTCCCACTGGGACATCAGAAAAGGCCACACCAAGGCCACAATGGGCCCCACATGCGTGTGGTTGTCACAACCCACCTTTAAAATCACCTCTACCAATGCGTGTATTTTGCTTTGTCCACAATAAATGAATTAACAATGCTTATAATCACTTGTATCGCTATAGTCCCAAGACTGTGCTAGATGACATACCAGCCTCATAGGAAGTACAGTCCTGCTCCAAAGAGTTTACACACCAAGTTCTTCCCTCCTGGTTTGGAGGCTCAGGTGAGATCCTGCAGTCAGGTCCAAGTGGATGGACCCTTGAATTCTACTGAAATCTGGGATCTACTCATGCAGATCCAGTTGCAGGATTATGACTTTACGTTGTAAACTTTTTGATGCAAGGACTGTCTTTATTATTTGTGTCTTGAACAGCACCAAATACATGAAGCTGACAAATAATAATAAATATAATAAATGTAGGACTTGAGGTCATATAATTTGTTTATCCCGTTGCTGCCTTCTAATGTAGATTACAGAAGCCACATGAGTTGGTTGTAATCTTCTAAATCATATAGAACTGAAGGAGCAGTAGGGTAAGAGGAGCATGCCGTCAGAAATTCCAGACACGTTCAGACCTCTGTGATGCACAACTATTATAACTGTGACAACATGAAATAGAAGGCATTTGGGTGCAGATTAGAGGTTGAAGTTACCATGAGAGGGAGATGGAGGGAATAGAGAAACAGGAAAAAGTATATACATTAAAATTAGAAAAGTAATAAAATATATTAAGAATGTTATTCCTGGGGATGTGCAAGGTAAAAGAGTAGTCACAAGGATAACGTCTGAACCACTTGGACAAAAGGTTGTAGAGCAGGATAAGGACTACGGTCTGGGGAAAATCAACATTAAAAAAGCTAAAAACTAAAAATACATGTACATTTGACATCTTACCTGCAGCTTATCTTGTTTTTACTGTTTATCTTGTCTATTTAGGACCTGAAGCTGTAGAGATTTGTGCGCGTGCTTAACTTTACACATTGTGAGTAAACCTATTGAAATCAATAGAACCACTCACAGTCCAGAAAATTAACCATGTAAGTGTTTGCAGGTTTGATATTATAAATTGTAAACACTTTAGGGCAGGGAGTGTCAGATCTCAAACTTGTATAGCACTTTAACACAATGGGGTCCTATTACTGCAATATAAATACATTTTAATATAATAATAAAAATAATAAAGTACACCCAGCTGCTAGAGTGTCAACCACCAAATAAATATCTGCAGTAATTATATGGACCATCACACCCCCACAAACATTGAAACAGGGCCCTTCACACTCAATGGGGTCTACGTGAGCATGGAAACAAGAGACTCTCACTCCCTAAAATATTAAAAACTACATCCACTAAAAGTCCCTTTTTTCCTGTGAAGAATGCCTGAGAATTGGGACCTCTCTGTGGTGTTATCACATTTAAAAATGCATGTTTAAAAAAAGATTATATAATTTATTTGCCGTGGGCAACCTGAAAAAGGGATATTTAAAAAGAACTGACATTTTAATTGCCTCACTAAGACATTTAAAAAAAAATCCTTCCTCACTAGAGGGAGATGCTTGAGAAAAATAGCACAAAATTAATTACAAAATGTGAGTCTCCCTGAAATTGAAACTTGGCAAGACTATGTCTCTGTTTTTTTCTCTCTCCCATTGCCCCTCAACCTATACAGCATGTATGAAACATTCACAGTGTAAAATATATTGCAGACTTGCCAAGTCTCATTCCGTTTCTGAGGGTGACTCCCTTAATGTAGGATTAATTTTTAAGGTAGTTCTAAAAATGATCTTTCACTTGTGTTGAAGGGTTTTGCTGTGCTCCTCTAATTGTAATAATTAATTTCTCACTCATTCACATTTTCACATCTTAACAGCTTTGCAGATGGATTTTTAAAAACATCTTGTGTGCATTGATAATATGTAAAGCTCTTTTCTCCCCTTTGCTGTATTCACTCTTATTTTAATCACACTGACATTGTGCATGTATGGGATTTGGATTTGCCTTCTCTGTTTATATGGCCCCAACCTATACAGCATTGCCAAACATTTCACCTATTATAAAATATATTGATTTGACCTTATTTGGAGTGTGTATGGAAAGACAGTTTTTCTGGGTATAATCCCATTAGTTTAATAAAATATCGCCAGAAAAATAAAGGATCATCTGTCTATTGCAGGCTCTGCTCCTGCATGCAGAGTCTTGGCAAACAGAACCACTGCAAGCAGAACTATCGCTCACCCGCTAATATTTAATGCACAGGTCGCATCATCAGGCGTTGGAATTGCTAATTTTGAGATGACAACGCTCGGGCTGCTCGTGTTGGTGCAACATATTGTCCTGTAAAAGACTACAAATGATTACAACCTCCCCCCGCAAGTGTCACACCGTAACCCTCTCCTCCACTGCTTAGTGTCCCCACCCACTATCAATGGCTGGCACCTGCCCCACGTCCTTTCTCTCCTTCCCACGGTGAGTTCCCCGTCATGTTCTTGCCCCCCCCCCCCCCCC